TTTCGGATGGATCTTCAGAGGAATTTAGACTAAAAGCGTTCACTTCCACAGTCTGTTATGTATTTGACGATAAAACACCATACATCAAAGAGGCCTACTTGATAAATAGGCCTTCGGGCTGACTGATTTATTGAAATGTTGGACATTTGGTGCAGAATTGGAAAAAAAAGAGTAAGAGAAAGAGGGAAATAGTGAGGAAGATAAAAAAGGAAGAAACAAAGCATACTAGCCACTACTGAGATGCCACCATGACGCCACTTGCCATTTTAGAATTAATTATATTGTCACACATTCTACACATTCTCATTTCAAATGAAATACTAGCATCACTCATTTCATATGAATACATTTCATATCCCCACCAGCGGAGGCTCCTCAGAGGAGGAAGGGGAGGACCATCCTCCTCAGTGAATTTCATACAAATAAAAATGGTGAAACATTAAAAAAGTTATCATGTTTCGATAAAACTATACTAAATATATTCACGTCACCAAATAATTGATTAAAACACACTGTTTTGCAATGAAGGTCTACAGTAGCCTCAACAGCACTCTGTAGGGTAGCATCATGGTGTAGCCGGAGGACAGGTAGCTTCCGTCCTCCTCTGGGTACATTGACTTCAATACAAAACCTAGGAGGTTCTCACCCCCTTCCATAGACTTACAAAGTAATTATGACAACTTCCGGAGGACGTCCTCCAACCTATCAGAGATCTTGCAGTATGAACTAACATGTCCACCCAATCAAAGGATCAGATAATTAATCTAGTACTGAAAGCATAAGCTACAGCTAGCTAGCACTGCAGTGCATAAACTGTGGTGAATAGTTGACTCAAAGAGAGCAAAAAACAATAGTTAAACAGTTTTGAACAGTTTGCGTGTGATCGGGGTGTATTCATTCCGATGATTCTGTTGAAAAACGTGTCTTAAATGGAAGCAAACAGAACGAAACAGGGATAAACATACCTGAATTTGTCCAATAGAAACTCTCGTTTGCAACTGTTGGACTAATGATTACACCCTAGATCAGTTTAGAGTGTGCATGGCGGTATTAAATGTGTCACTGTCTGTCCATGTGTAACTGTCTGTCACCTCAAATTTGTCTCTCGACCTGTGTGCGCCTACGTTGTAAACATTCATTCATAGGCTAAGTTCTAGCAACCTCATGATGGGTATAGGGAAATTTAGAGTATCATGTAGTAGCCTAAACCTATTGATGTTCCATTGAACTGGGTGAATGGAATTTGAATGGCAGTCATCTAATATGCTGTAATAGAAATAAGGCTCATGAAAAACAATTATCGTCCTCCCTCATCTTAAACGGCACCGACCGCCACTGATCCCAACATGGGTTTGGTAGGATAATCAGGGCTAGCTGGCGAGGGCACGTAGCATATTGCCTTAGATCTGAAATTGCCTTTGAACTATCATTGCCTTTGAAAATGTTTGCTTTTTATCAATTACATTTAAATATGCTACATCTAGAATTTCTCCGCCTATGTGGAAGCTAGGTGAATTGCAACAGCGCTAGGCTATATTCAAACAAATCTCCCCCCTCCCCCGCATCCCATTTCTCCGAAACATGGAGGAGACTAGTGCTTGAGCATTTTACTTTTTGTTTTGGTCCACCAGCTTCAAATATATTTAGATGGTACAATGATTCCCTACACTATTCAGTGCTTGTTCTCTCACATAAACTAAAATTGAGCGAACAGTGTAGAATTTTAGCAAGCAGGAAATTACAGAGTGATTTCTGCACTTAACCCGATTTCCACTAGATAACACAGCCACAAAGTCAAAACAGCTTTCCAATTTTGTCAACAGAGGCCGCTCCGGTGGGAGAAATCAATTGGCGAATATCACATCCAATCAAAACACTGGCGGGTAAGTAATACTGTGAAACACTATCATTCCACTATTAATGCAGATATATTATGGACATTTTCTGAAATCACAATGCAAAACTTTAAAAAACATCATATTTGTAGCAAATTTAAACATCTCCAATTTCATATCAATTATGCTATATATTCAAATGTGAATGCAGTACTGTTTGTCACTGAACAGTAATTGAGATAGAGCCTTTGCCAGTATACTCCCTTGTTTTCCATATATATGCGATGGATGAGAAAGAAATAAGACGGTCGATTCTTTCTCGCACAAGTACTATAGTCAACCTCATATACAGTATCTCTTCAATGACACCAAATACTAAATCTCAGGATAACCAGAAAATGTTGGAATTATCTAGGTGACCTTGGCTGTAGAATTAAAAAATTATAGACACTTTAGTGGTATCATGACTCCTGCCATGTCTTCCCATGCCTCCAATGATTAGTAAAAAGATTTCACATTGACAGGCCAGATTCCACTACATAAAGTACATCTATTGGTTGTCAGTTAAAATGAAAGATGGTTGATGCTTTAAGGGTCATAACAAGGGCAGTTTGATAGACAGAAAGAGAGAGAAAGAGAGAGAGAAAGAAAGAGAGAGCAGGGGATTTATCAAAGAAACAAATATGTTCAAGATCTGCACTTGCACACACACCAGAATGATTACAAACAGATATCCTTGACTACAGACGGTCATATCAGACACCCTAGCCATGACACAGATATAGTGATCTGGGGATCTAGTGCTATATAGGATTTAGGGTGCCATTTGGGACACAGACAGAGTCCTCTTCACACACGCATGCACTCACGCATGCACTTACGCACACACACGCACATGCACACACACTCTAATTTTCGCTCTCCAACATGAAGCTGATACAAACACATCCCCCTTACCGTGAGGATCTGTTGTTGTGGGAATGGCTCACTGGGAATTTCCAGCAATTTGCATTTCCAGCTGGGGATCGAAGCAGAGCCAGATAGGAGATGTGGTAAGTAAATATCAGCTATTGCGGGGGAATGTGTGGAGTCATGAGAGACACTTCAAATGCGACAGTCCATGAGAAAGAACGTTGGCTTCCCTCTCTCCATCTCCAATGTCTCACTAAAACCTACTACACTCAAACTAGCTCAACCAATTCATCTGTGAAGTGTAGGATCAAAGACACCAGATCAGTACAATGCCTGTCATACTCAATATCCAACTTTGTGTTCAAACAATTCATCAAGAATCAGAATAGATTTCTCTATAATATTGTTCTCTAGACACCTGTTTTAGTGACTTCTATAATCTCAAATAATTGAGAGTAAAGATTATGAACAACCCCTGTTTCATTTTGATGTGTTTATTTCATTTTGATACAGTATTATCTTATTTGGACACAGCAATCTAAAACTGTACTTTCTCAATATGGTGTATGTCAGTGGCAAGATGATCACAATAACGCTTGATGACTTCAGTTTGTGGACCACAATCTTTTTTATTCACGTGAATCTTTCTTATTCACATACATCTTTTTTTTTCACAGAGTTAATCAATAGTTGTTGAAAAGCTACGCAGTGAATCGATGGTTGTTAAATCCACGGATTGTAATGTGGTCCCTCGTTTGTTATCTACTCCATATTTTACAATGTAGTCCACAGTTTGTTGGTTATATACCCAGCTAGCACATAACGTTCTGAGAACCATATGTTTCTTAGAGCTTGGTGAGAGCGTGGTTGTCCTATGGTTATTTTGCATACAACCTTCCCATAACGCTTCCTACAGGTTTCCTCATGCTTCTATTTAAAGTAATGTTCTCTTATTGTTCAGAGAGCGTAAAGAAACAACGTTCTTCTGTGGAAATGTCGGTACTTCAGCATAACGTTTTCTACAGGTTTCCTCATGGTTCTATTAAAAGTCATGTTCTCAGAACATCAAGAAAACTTTCCATAAAAAACACAAGAAAACATTAGTAACGTTCCCAGAACATTCTAAGAATGTTATTTAAAAAACATATACATTCTGTTCTCAGCATCAACAAAACTCTCTCTATCCTCTATCTTGTTAAGTATGTTCAGGTTTGTTGGCCGCGCCAACTAATTGGCCACATCTGATCTTAATGAGGGCCTGTTTCCTTTGAAATAGGGTCTGTTTGAATAGACTAAAATGAACAGCTTTGTATGAGTTAAAAACAAATAGCATGCTAGTTCCTTCCTGGTGGTGCAGTGAACTAATTCCATGGATAGAGAGCAGAAGATCATAGGTTTGAATCTCACTGACGTCATGCCACAAGAAGAAATAAATCATGTTTGCATGATTAATGCATAAGCAAATTAATTTCCATGTGTTCTATCTGTGCTTGGAGTTCAAAACAGTTAAACTAACAGTGTTATTTAACATTCAGGGAACAATAGAAAAACATTCTCAGAACCTCCCTGCAACCTAAAAATAAAAGTTCCCAGAACAGGTGACATTTTCTCTTCCATCCTCAGAATGTTTAAAAAACGTTCAGTTTTAACAGTCAGGAAATGTGTGACTTCATTCCCAGAACCAATGGGAAACCAAAAATGTACGTTCCCGTGACATCAATTTGATCATGTGATGGTATGTTTTTTCTAGACAGCCCCAGTCTCAGCCTCTGCCTTATCCCCAGCCTCAGCCCCAGTCTCAGCCTCTGCCTTATCCCCAGCCTCAGCCCCAGTCTCCGCCTCTGCCTTATCCCCAGCCTCAGCCCCAGTCTCAGCCTCTGCCTTATCCCCAGCCTCAGCCCCAGTCTCAGCCTCTGCCTTATCCCCAGCCTCAGCCCCATTCTCCGCCTCTGCCTTATCCCCAGCCTCAGCCCCAGTCTCAGCCTCTGCCTTATCCCCAGCCTCAGCCCCAGTCTCAGCCTCTGCCTTATCCCCAGCCTCAGCCCCAGTCTCAGCCTCTGCCTTATCCCCAGCCTCAGCCCCAGTCTCAGCCTCTGCCTTATCCCCAGCCTCAGCCCCAGACTCAGCCGTAGTCTTAAATTAACAGAAAATGATGGCCAATGTTCTGTGGTCAGAGGCAATTGGATGGCCACCCGCTGATTTTAACCGCTATTTGGCATGTTCTGTTTTGTCCTTTAGCCCTCATCCCCAGCCTCAGTGTTGACGGGAGAACAGGTTCCTAAGGGCGTTGTTGTAGTTCTTGTTAAAGGCGGTGTAGATAAGCGGGTTGAAGAAGGAGTTGGAGTAGCCCAGCCACAGGAAGATGCTCTTCCAGATGGGCGGGATGTCGCAGTGGCACAGCGGGATGATGAGCTCCGTGAGGAAGAAGGGGATCCAGCAGAGGACGAAGACTCCGATCAGGATGCCCACCATCAGCGCCGCCTTCTTCTCCTTCTGCTCGCGCCACGTGTCGCCGTCCGTCTGGAAGGTCACGGTGGCGTGGCGTACCGTGAACACCATCTGGGGCTGCCGCGACGCCTCCTTCACCTGTCAATCAAATCAGTCAGCCAACCAGTTAGTCAATCAGTCAGGCAATCAAATCAGTCAACAAATTGATACTCACATTACTAAAATAAGTTAAAGAACAGACCAATCAATTAGTCAGTGTTTGTCGCAGGCTTTCAGTTTTACAATTTTTGAGACATACTGTAAGCCACAACTTATTTTGTTCTCAGTCAATCAGTCAGTCAGTTAGTCAGTCAATCAGTCAACCAATCGATACTCACATTAGTAAAAGAACCAGCCAATCAATTAGTTAATTGAGCAACCAGTCAGCTAGCTGAACCCAATGGGAAAATTAATAAATCAAGCAAAAACAAGCAAAATAGCCTCTAATGAATCAATCATTGAGCTAAACGATACAGGGCATAAACGACAACCCCCTGCCAGAACTCAAGCCATCAACCTGCACTTGTGACTCATACAGAGAGGGCTGTTAAATGGAAGTAATGGAATGAAAACACCATGCTTCAATCTATCCGCCCATTTCTCATTTCCAGGCAGGTGCACTGTTATGTTGAGCCTGGTGGAGTAGTGTTTCTCTCTACACCTGACCCTGCAGGTCATTCTGCATGAGCTGTTTATAAACCTACACTTTACCGCTCAGCAGATCACATCTGGCCTGCGTCCCAAATGGCACCCTATGGGTCCTGGTCAAAAGTAGTGCACAAAATAGGGAATAGGGTGCCATTTGGGATGCAGGCCTGGTCAATTAAAACAATAAAACAAACAATCAAAATAATGTATTTGCAGCAGAGGGTAGGGGTTAAAAGCATAGTGGCTGGGGGTAAATTGCTGACGCCAAATTGAAGGGCAGTCTAATATTACAGTTTAAATGGTCAATCTGGGGTTGATACATCCATTTTTGTACTTCTAAATGAATGATATAGCCATTGATTCTTGAAGAATATAGCTTATAAATGCCTCACACGCTTAGTTTAACTGTCTTACCACACATCACAGCCCAAAATAAATCATGTATATGGTTAAAACTATCATTTTGATCTCATGCATGGCCAATCTGGGACTGTGATATATGAAAGCCTGACTCCAGTCAATAGATTAAGGTTTTCTTGGCGAAATGTAAAATGTTATTTTTTGTCAAAAAGGCAGCCAACTATCAGTAACTAAGTGACTTAACTAAATTGCTTGCAGTGGAGTTTAAGACATGCAAATTCAAGTCATACACAGTACACAAGCAATAGCAATGTTGTTTGATGTTGTTTGATAGGCTCAACTGGATTAATCATAGCTGATCCCTTTTGCATACCAAGTAGTGGTAGAATAAATATCAATATAATTTCCTATTAGATCACAGGGGTTCTACTCCACTGAGCCACACCAGGGGGTTAAGGGATTGCATTTAGAGATGGGTTGAAAGTAAGGCCAGACCTACCTCCAATCCACTCAGAGGTACTGTAGGCTAGCCTACTTGACATTTTCATGTTAAAAACATGTTGGAAATACAATAATTACATTGTAACACATTTCATTGTAGCACAACTTAAATTGTAAAAAATGTATTAAACCCGCCTTTGTATTCACAAACACCTGAAAAGCTAGTTTTTTTTGTTCTTAAATACATTTAACATGCATTAGAAACAGGTTAATAACATGGAACATGTTAGAATTGCAAAAGGAATGTGCGCTCTGGGCGCAAATTGGTTGAATCAATGTTGTTTCCACTGAAAAACTGATTGGATTTTCAAAAAGTCATCAACATAAAGGAATTTCTGGATTTTTTGTATTTTTATCACCCAACATTAAACTAAAATCAATGACACTGTAAAGTTTTCGTTGATTTTATGTTGAATTCATGTTAGTTTACAACTCAATCAAATGTCAATCAAAATTAGTTGTTGAACTGACATCTGTGCCCAGTGGGTGTAATTGTGTGTGAAATTTCCGGTAGGGCTCCCACCCTATTGCGGTATGCATGGTCCATTGTGTTTAGATGTTTTCACGCCTCAGAGTCATGACTCCTTTTGTCCATACTGCTAACTGGGCTGAACTTGAGCCAAACACCCACGTATACAAACTGTAATACCACAGAGAAAACAGCCTAACTTTTCTCCATAGAAAAGGAATGATGTGACAAAATGAATTCAGCTGAAAGACCACAGTCCTAGGGGGTAATACCTTTTCAAACTTTCAAATACATTTCTGTGAAAACTAGATGGGGTGTCTACAGAGGGTGTACAGTCATAAATAGTTGCTAGGCGCCAATTTGTTTTTATTCTTTGACTGCTCAGTATTATGTGACTCATTGTTGAGGTATAATTTAATAAAACAGCTAAAGGATACTTTCTATATTCTGTGGACAGAATACAGTGCCTTGCAAAAGTATTCATCCCCCTTGGCGTTTTTCCTATTTTGTTGCGTTACAACCTGTAATTTAAATGGATTTTTATTTTGATTTCATGTAATGGACATACACAAAATAGTCCAAATTGGTGAATTGAAATTTAAAAAATAACTTGTTAAAAAAATTCAAGAAAATAAATAACGGAAAAGTGGTGCGTGCATATGTATTCACCCCCTTTGCTATGAAGCCCCTAAATAATATCTGGTGCAACCAATTACCTTCAGAAGTAATTTAACTAACCTTCATAATTAGTTAAATAAAGTCCACCTGTGTGCAATCTAAGTGTCACATGATCTGTCACATGATCTCAGTATATATACACCTGTTCTGAAAGGCCCCAGTGTCTGCAACACCACTAAGCAAGGGGCACCACCACTAAGCAAGGGGCACCACCAAGCAAGCGGCACCATGAAGACCAAGGAGCTCTCCAAACAGGTCAGGGACAAAGTTGTGGAGAAGTACAGATCAGGGTTGGGTTATAAAAAAATATCAGAAACTTTTAACATCCCACGGAGCACCATTAAATCCATTATTAAAAAATGGAAAGAATATGGCACCACAACAAACTTGCCAAGAGAGGGCCGCCCACCAAAACTCACGGACCAGGCAAGGAGGGCATTAATCAGAGAGGCAACAAAGAGACCAAAGATAACCCTGAAGGAGCTGCAAAGCTCCACAGCGGGGATTGGAGTTTCTGTCCATAGGACCACTTTAAGCCATACACTCCACAGAGCTGGGCTTTACGGAAGAGTGGCCAGAAAAAAGACATTGCTTAAAGAAAGAAATAAGCAAACATGTTTGGTGTTCGCCAAAAGGCATGTGGGAGACTCCCCAAACATATGGAAGAAGGTACTCAGGTCAGATGAGACTAAAATTGAGCTTTTTGGCCATCAAGGAAAACGGTATGTTTGGCGCAAACCCAACACCTCTCATCACCCCGAGAACACCATCCCCACAGTGAAGCATGGTGGTGGCAGCATCATGCTGTGGGGATGTTTTTCATCGGCAGGGACTGGGAAACTGGTCAGAATTGAAGGAATGATGGATAAAGGGAAATTCTTGAGGGAAACCTGTTTCAGTCTTCCAGAGATTTGAGACTGGGACGGAGGTTCACCTTCCAGCAGGACAATGACCCTAAGCACACAGCTAAAGCAAGACTTGAGTGGTTTAAGGGGAAACATTTAAATGTCTTGGAATGGCCTAGTCAAAGCCCAGACCTCAATCCAATTGAGAATCTGTGGTATGACTTAAAGATTGCTGTACACCAGCGGAACCCATCCAATTTGAAGGAGCTGGAGCAGTTTTGCCTTGAAGAATAAGCTTGGCTAGATGTGCCAAGCTTATAGAGACATACCCCAAGAGACTTGCAGCTGTAATTGGGGGGGGGGGGGGGGGGGGGGGGGGGCGGTGAATAGTTATGCACGCTCAGGTTTTCTGTTTTTTTGTCCTATTTCGTGTTTGTTTCACAATATTTTTTTTTTTGCATTTTCAAAGTAGTAGGCATGTTGTGTAAATCAAATGATACAAACCCCCCAAAAATCCATTTTAATTCCAGGTTGTAAGGCAACAAAATAGGAAAAATGTCAAGAGGGGTGAATACTTTCGCAAGCCACTGTATATGAAATTCCAAAGACCTACCGGGCTATAAGAAGTCTATTTTAACCGACAAATGAGGTGTCTCCAAATCAGTGGGTGGATGCCTGAAATAGCTGCCTATAGTCTTAATAAGTTTTTGCTGTTTTGTACCAGCCAATTCTCTCCCCTTAGTCTCCAAACAAACCTACCAAGCTCAAAGGCCTATGCTGCTGTTTGCCTATTGTATATAACCAGAGAGAGTGAAGGCAGCATGGAGGCAGCTCCCTTTGAACAGAGTAAAATGAAATGGCATGTTTGAATAAATTAGCTTGGCCTTGTTGAGTGAGTCTGTGTTCCAAATTGCACCCGATTCCCTATATAGTTCACAACTTTTGACCGGAGCCCATTGGGCCCTGGTCAAAAGTAGTGCACTATATAGGGATAGGGTGCCATTTAGGATGCAGCCTGGGTCTCTGGACTCTGTCAGCGTCCTTGCTGATTAGAGGGAGCCGCTGTGGTGAGGAAGGTGCAGTGGCCCCTAGCCTTGTTAAACATGCTGGGTATTTATAAGCCACTGTGCCTATAGCGATTAACAGGGGTTATACCAACAGCCTTTTAGTTTATTTCCTCTGCGTGTGTGTGCGTGCGCGTGTGTGTGTGTGTGTGTGTGCAGTTGTATGTGTATGTGAGAGAGAGATCGTGTGAAAAAAGTAGAAGATCCTCCTTCACATTGAGGGATTGTTTTTGCATGTTGACGGTGATTTGTGTAGTTGTGTGCGCATGTGCACGTGTGTGGGGGACTATGTGCATACATGCACGTGTGAATGCCTCCATGTGAATTGGTTTGTTGAGTATGAGATGCAGTACACGCTGATAAGCGTTAAAGAACAATTCACATCCCACAGCCCTGCAGCACCATCACAGCACCATCAGAACAGCTCAGAATGTATTATGCAGATGACATGGTTTCCCACTAATTGCCCAGCAACCAATTTGAGAGCTACAGTACAATCTCATCAGTCAATGATAATGTGATATGCACTCACGAGCAGATACGAGAGAGCTATAATGACACTGATATCATTGAGGTACATTAAGATAATTATTTAGATTAGGTTTGAATGCGCAACCATTATCTGAACATTGGTCAAGGTTGATTGATTAAGTCCAGCAAAATTGGCCAAGGAGCTTAGGAGTGTGTCAATGTAATAATAATGTAATAAAATCAACTGAATATTAACGCAATCATCATGTGGATCCCACATGAAACATTCAACCACCCAGCAGGCAAAACTGGTTGAATAAGACATCATTACAACCAGACACTGGTAGGAATAACATAATTTTGATGTAACTTCAACCAGTTTAACCCGCTGGGTAAGACTATAGCAACAAAAGTACCTCAATCACCTCAGCCATAGGCGTGATGGTATTGGTCTTGCACGAGCCGATGCGGAACTTGGCCGCCTTGTAGATCTTCCAGTAGACGAAGAGCACCACGCACAGCGGCAGGTAGAACGCTCCGAAGGTGGAGAAGATAGTGTAGGAGGGCTCCTGGCTCACCTGGCACTCCATCCCCTCCTCCGAGTAGGTCTCCCCCCAGCCGAACAGCGGCGACAGGGAGATGACGGAGGACAGCAGCCAGGTAAGCACGATCATCACATTGGAGATCCTCTTGCGGGTCTTGAGCGTGTACTCCAAGTGTCTGGTGATGGACCAGTAGCGGTCCAGGGCGATGGCCGTCACGTTCCAGATGCTGGCCGTGCAGCAGAGCACATCGAAGGAGATCCACACCTGGCAGAGCACGCGACCCAGCTTCCATAGCCGTCCGTTGAGCTCGTGCACCAGGCTCAGGGGCATGACCAGGGCGGCCACCATCACGTCCGAGATGGCCATGGAGGCCACCAGGTTGTGGGGCACGCGGTGGAAGGTCCGCACCCTCAGGATGGTGAGGAGAACAAGGAGGTTCCACACGAAGGTGGCCACCACCAGCATGGCTAGCAGGGTGAGGGTTAGCACGCTGAACACCGAGAACGGACGGTAGAAGTTTCCTGTTCCATACCCCAGGTCGTCGCTACCGGCCCTGGCCCAGGCCCCGCTAAGGTTGGCGGTCACCAGGGTCACGTTGGGCTGGGTCATGTTCAGCAGTGTTCAGCAGCGGTCACCCAGCCCAGCTGGCTGAATAAGTTCAGACAGGTCTGTCACAGGGGAATTTTCAGATTGAAGCATCCTGCAGTGTATAAAGAGAGAGAAGAAGCTTTTAAGTCATGCAAACAGAACACATGACACTTGATAGACTTGACACATGACAGATGTCACAACCATATCTATGGAAGAGGTGAAATACAAATGAAGGAAACTGTGAAGGGCATTGAAGGAGAATGATTTTATTCAGATCATTATTCAGATTTTGTTCACTGGATTTGCACATTCCCTTTGAAAGCACTACTGTATTCTTGTGTGTAATAAACACTAACAGCTGGTTGAGAGTCTCATTTCAACTGTCAATTAATCTGCCTACAACATAACTTCCATCAATGTAATTGGCTGCATCACTTCCAATCACCATGTTTTTTTTCTTGCAATTATATATATATATATATATATATATATATATATATATATATATATATATACATATATGTATATATACATATACATACACATACACATACAGTGGGGAGAACAAGTATTTGATACACTGCCGATTTTGCAGGTTTTCCTACTTACAAAGCATGTAGAGGTCTGTAATTTTTATCATAGGTACACTTCAGCTGTGAGAGACAGTACATTGTATAGGTACATTGTATGATTTTTAAGTAATTAATTTGCATTTTATTGCATGACATAAGTATTTGATACGTCAGAAAAGCAGAACTTAATATTTGGTACAGAAACCTTTGTTTGCAATTACAGAGATCATACGTTTCCTGTAGGTCTTGACCAGGTTTGCACACACTGCAGCAGGGATTTTGGCCCAGTCCTCCATACAGACCTTCTCCAGATCCTTCAGGTTTCGGGGCTGTCGCTGGGCAATACGGACTTTCAGCTCCCTCCAAAGATGTTCTATTGGGTTCATGTCTGGAGACTGGCTAGGCCACTCCAAGGACCTTGAGATGCTTCTTACGGAGCCACTCCTTAGTTGCCCTGTCTGTGTGTTTCGGGTCGTTGTCATGGTGGAAGACCCAGCCACGACCCATCTTCAATGCTCTTACTGAGGGAAGATCTCGCGATACATGGCCCCATCCATCCTCCCCTCAATACGGTGCAGTCGTCCTGTCCCCTTTGCAGAAAAGCATCCCCAAATAATTATGTTTCCACCTCCATGCTTCACGGTTGGGATGGTGTTCTTGGGGTTGTACTCATCCTTCTTCTTCCTCCAAACACGGCGAGTGGAGTTTAGACCAAAAAGCTATATTTTTGTTTCATCAGACCACATGACCTTCTCCCATTCCTCCTCTGGATCATCCAGATGGTCATTGGCAAACTTCAGACGGGCCTGGACATGCGCTGGCTTGATCAGGGGGACCTTGCGTGCGCTACAGGATTTTAATCCATGACGGCGTAGTGTGTTACTAATGGTTTTCTATGAGACTGTGGTCCCAGCTCTCTTCAGGTCATTGACCAGGTCCTGCCGTTTAGTTCTGGGCTGATCCCTCACCTTCCTCATGATCATTGATGCCCCACGAGGTGAGATCTTGCATGGAGCCCCAGACCGAGTGTGATTGACCGTCATCTTGAACTTCTTCCATTTTCGAATAATTGCGACAACAGTTGTTGCCTTCTCATCAAGCTGCTTGCCTATTGTCCTGTAGCCCATCCCAGCCTTGTGCAGGTCTACAATTTTATCCCTGATGTCCTTACACAGCTCTGTGTCTTGGCCATTGTGGAGAGGTTGGAGTCTGTTTGATTGAGTGTGTGGACAGGTGTCTTTTATACAGGTAACGAGTTCAAACAGGTGCAGTTAATACAGGTAATGAGTGGAGAACAGGAGGGCTTCTTAAAGAAAAACGAACAGGTCTGTGAGAGCCGGAATTCTTACTGGTTGGTAGGTGATCAAATACTTATGTCATGCAATAAAATGCAAATTAATTACTTAAAAATCATACAATGTGATTTTCTGGATTTTTGTTTTAGATGCCGTCTCTCACAGTTAAAGTGTAGCTATGATAAAAATTACAGACCTCTACATGCTTTGTAAGTAGGAAAACCTGCAAAATCGGAAGTGTATCAAATACTTGTTCTCCCCACTGTATATATATATACATACACATACATATCCTTTAAAAAAAAATATTTCCCTCTATTACTTTCCAACCCCACCACCCCTTCCCTAATTGGAGTAAACTTGTGAACAACAATGCTTAGGCCTCTACTTCCAGCTTATACATACTATATACCTTTTATGGACAATTTTACAATAATTATATTTTGCTTGTTTTTACTCCTGAACTTCCTCTACCCTCAATCTCTCTGATCATTATCATGATGTCCATCCGGTTTGCTTCTAAATGCCATATCTCTCCAACTGTGCTCCTTCACAAAAGTGCTCAACCTATAAGCTATATACTTATTATGGACACAGCATGCCCTACATTAGTTATCTTGCTGTTATTAGTTGTTGTTAGTTGTTATTAGTCCCATCCATCAGCTCCATCCAACACCTCCCATCTATCTCTTATATTGGATTTCTATTTGCCATATATTTTCAACTGTACTGTGATGTTTCTGTTGAATATTTCTCTTTACATAATCAAATTAAATAAAACAAGCTGAGCTAAAATTACATGCAGGAAGTATACTCAAGGGTAAAACCTTTTCAACACGTTTTTGTTTCTGTAGCTACACTGAACAAAAATATAAACACAACATGCAACAATTTCAACGATTTTTACGGTTCATATAAGAAAATCTGTCAATTTAAATAAATTCAGTAAGCCCTAATTTATGGATTTCACATGACTAGTAATACAGATACTTTTTCTAAAAGGTAGGGGTGTGGATCAGAAAACCAGTAAGTATCTGGTGTGACCACCAATTGTCTCATGCAGCGCGACACATCTCCTTTGCATAGAGTTGATCAGGCTGTTGATTGTGGCCTGTGAAATGTTGTCCCACTCCTCTTCAATGGCTGTGCGAAATTGCTGGATATTGGCGGGAACTGGAACATGCTGTCGTACACGTCGATCCAGAGCATCACAAACATGCTCAATGGTTGACATGTCTGGTGAGTATGCAGGCCATGGAAGAACTGGGACATTTTCAGCTTCCAGGAATTGTGTACAGATCCTTGCGTCATGGGGTTATATAATATAATATAATATGCCATTTAGCAGACGCTTTTATCCAAAGCGACTTACAGTCATGTGTGCATACATTTTTACATATGGGTGGTCCCGGGGATCAAACCCACTACCCTGGCGTTACAAGCGCCATGCTCTACCAATTGAGTTGAAACATGAGGTGATGGCGGCGGATGAATGGCACGACAATGGGCCTCAGGATCTCGTTACGGTATCTCTGTGCATTCAAATTGACATCGATAAAATGCAATTGTGTTCATTGTCCATAGCTTCTGCCTGCCCATACCATAAACCCACCGCCACCATGGGGCACTGTTCACAACGTTGACATCAGTAAACCACTCGCTCACACGATGCCATCTGCTATCTGCCCAGTACAGCTGAAACCGGGATTCATCCATGAAGAGCACACTTCTCCAGTGTGCCAGTTGCCATCTAAGGTGAGCATTTGCCCACTGAAGTTGGTTACGATGCCGAACTGCAGTCAGGTCAAGACCCTGGTGAGGACGACAAGCATGCAGATGAGCTTCCCTGAGACGCTTTCTGACAGTTTTTGCAGAAATTCTTTGGTTGTGCAAACCCACAGTTTCATCAGCTGTCTGGGTGGCTGGTCTCAGTCGATCCCGCAGGTGAAGAAGCCGGATGTGGAGGTCCTGGGCTGGAGTGGTTACACGTGGTCTGCGGTTGTGAGGCCGGTTTGATGTACTGCCAAATTCTCTAAAATGACATTAGAGGCGGCTTATGGTAGATAAATTAACATTCAATTATCTAGCCACAGCTCTGGTGGATATTCCTGCAGTCAGCATGCCAATTGCACGCTCCCTCAATTTGAGACTGTGGCATTGTGTTGTGTGACAAAACTGCACATTTTAGAGGGGCCTTTTATATTCCCCAGCACAAGGTGCACCTCTGTAATGATCATGCTGTTTAATTAGCTTCTTGATATGCCACACCTGTCAGGTGGATGGATTATCTTGGCAAAGGAGAAATGCTCACTAACAGGGATGTAAACAAATTTGTGCAGTAAATTTGAGAGAAAGAAGCCTTTTGTGCTCATGGAACATTTATTTTTTTATTTTTTTTAGCTCATGAAACATGGGACCAACACCTTACATGTTGCGTTTATATTTTTGTTCAGTATAGTTAAATAGGAAACTAGAAGTTAATCTGGTATCCAGGGAACTTTATTTTACTCTTAGCGTTGCTCTTAGTGTTGCATTGTCGTCTTGGGAGTAATAAATGCTATAGCCTATATACTGTATTTCACAAAGGCTATCCAGTCTGTAATAATTACCTCATTGTCTATATCGTCATTTGTCTCAGGACTTGCTGTGATGTCGATTTTTTCATTGACACACACACACACACACATCAACAAGCAGATCCAATTGTGTCCAGTCCTTTATCATTGTGTAACTATAAAGTATATTAGCCCTGTTTCACCCGTCCTATTATAGCTATGACCCTTTGGCTTTGTTAGAACTCTTTGCTTTAATAGTCAATGGGCTCATTTATTTTACAGTGCCATTGTAGTGCAGTGTTCTAGGTCCCAGTCTGTCCCAAGCCCGGGGCAGACTGGGACCAGAAGTCGGCCTGGGATTTCTAACACACTGGCCATTTTTTCCTCGATGCCCCAACACCGGGCCATTTTTTTGGGTGTAAAAAAAATTCGTTATATTTTCCCCAAAGGTGTATATGAACATATTTTAATTACATTGAATGGTGCTTAAACACTGTCAGTTCCTCTTTAAGGCTCCCATTATTAGCCAAATAATCTTTCAGCACAAAAAAAAACACAATTTAGACAGGCTCATTGGGCTAAAGATGGACAAGCCC